GAAATATCATGTGAATCGGTGGAACGAAACCGAAGGCACGGTAAAACCCCGGTATAAAAGTAAACGAAGCATTTCACGCTAATTAGCCATTCGTTTTAGTGGCCTGAATAAATTACTCTATTTAGCAAGCTGTGGAACGCTGCGCGCTTTTTTTTCTTCGTCGAAAGAGCAAGGTGAAGGTGAGACTGTCACGGCAAGAGGGTCGTCGAAATACGTGAGTACATTTCGCCGCGCGATTTTCGCGGTGAAAACGCGTCGCGTATCGACACTGGCTGGCAAGGAATCCGGGTCGAGAAATAAATCGAAGAAAGTACGCTTATTTATATTTGCCGCGGAGAGAGGAACGAAACACATCGATCCCGCCGGAATTCCCGATGGCTCCCGCGCATTAGTCAACCGTCATGGAATAAATAGTCGAAAAGAAGGACGGAACCACGTTGATGATTCGGAGGCTAGGCATAAAAATAGAAACACTCGCGGCAGGATGGGCGCGCGAGCCGCGAGGGAGGTGATCTATTCGGAATATTCTGCCCTCCGAGCACAAAGAATGCTCGGCGTTTGACATCGCGCGACGCCAGCTGCGATGCTCGGATGCCGCACGGGCGCGCGCACTCTCGCATGCGATGAAAATGTTGCGTGTATGAGTAATCAATGATAACGTTTCTTTTGAAAACGTTTTGGGAGCGTGATATTTTAGTGTTGAAAATTCATTTACGGGTTTTGTGTTGTTTTTGAAACTTGGTTTGGGATAAAGTGGCACGGTTAACCTGGGAAATTATAATTTAATTACTTTGAGAACTGAACTGTTTATGAAATGGATTCGTTATTTGGTTTCATGCCGATCGCTGTGTTTTGGTCATTTATTTTGTTCCTTAGTTCTGCTTAAATGTATTAAATAAAGTGGGGTGATATATTATACTACAGACGAATTAAATCATCGAATGAAAATCGAGATATTTTATGCAGTGGACGTGGAAAAATAAAGTTACAACTAATTTTCGGTAATTGTATTAAATATAAATCTGTGAGATGTGAGATATTTATAAAAATTTACACGGAAAAAGGTTACTATGGTTCATTACATTTGCACCTGAGTACTCATGTAAATACACTGTAGAATTGTAGGAATTGTTTTCCAATTAAAAAATGAATATATCCTTTCACTACCAATAAAATTTTCATTGCCAAATAGTAGGGGCTCTCGTTCAAACAGTACGATCACCAGAAATAGTTAAATTACATAGAAAAATCCGAAATTTTATGAAATAAGAAAGCCTCAACGCGTTCACTATCAGCATCGCATATTCGTAGCGGACGCGATCTCGCATAATTACGCGAAGGAAGTTAAATTAATTTTATGCACGTTCTTATTTGAAGTCATAATGCATGGCGAATCAGGAATTTCCGTGGTCAGGAAATTGACTCGTCTCCGTCCAAGCTTTTTGTTTCGGTAAAAATGATGCGTTACGTTTAATCGAATATTTGAACCTGCGATGGCAGTTGCCGATACGAACGGCGATAGCCGAACATACTAATTACGGGACGTCGAAACTGTCGGGAGTATAGAAAACGTGGAAACAAGCGTTCGCCCGACAGAAGCTGATCGATGCCGCGGTATCCGATCCGAAAGTGCGTGACCACGGGGCCTAAAAGCAGTCCAGAAGTAGGTTCTTGCAACCTGCAATGAGCCACGATTTCGTATATCGAATCGGTGAGTGGTGATCGATCGATGCTTAGGACGTTGGGCAAGTCAAATAACCATCAATTTGCGAATGAGTTGTAAGACCAAGAAACGCCTCGGTGTGATCGAAATCCTCCCTGCCATCGGCCTCGAATCGCGAGTACGTAATGGCTACCGTCTAACGATCAAATCGAACCCGAACGTTTATATGCTAAACATATTCTTGTGAAAAGAAAGTTTTGTACAAGTTGAACTACGGGGTGTCTTATAGTTGATGGCACGATCGAGAAGAGGTTGATTCTTTGTGCGAAAATGCTTTGAGAACAAAATTTATTTATTTGGAATATATTTTTACGGAATAAAAATTGGAAATTTGTGTTTATTGTTTTACTTAAATTGGGATTAAAAAGTTATTGTTTCAGTTCCAATTTCATCTAGTTTGAAAATTTCCACCTTACATTTGGGTAACTGTTAATAGTATAGCTTGTTCGAAAATAAGGTATTATATGAATTTGACATGTACAATAATCCTTTGTCTATTGTACTACTCTTATTTATTCAGTAAAAGAATTGTATTTTATATTTCTGGTCAAATCACAAATCACTAGAAATTCTTTATACTCTCACATTGTAATTATATTTTCATCAGAACAAAATTTTAAATTGGCATATATTAATTTCTAATACCTATGCTAACTTATTTGTATATCTACCACAAATAACAAGCATAATAGAATAATTTCGTTATCGCCTGATTTAATGGACGGATCATAATGGAATATTACAAATGAACTGATTTTTTCATTCTTTCATTCAAGACTTCATTTTATTAAGAGCCGTCAGCTCTTTACAGTGTTAACGTTCAACTATCTATGTCTTTGTTTCAATGAGTCAAATTATAAATTAACCTTAACCAAACCGATTTAAAAGAGTAACTACGTTCCTGCTTATATTTTCATATTTCTGTACAAAACCTAACTTATGATTATAAAATTGTTTATCATTCTAAATAGTATTTACTTCATTCTTATATTACCTATTTCCCCAAATTTTTAGTATTTTCATTGTAACTAAAATACAAATTTCATATAAACAATTTTTGTTCAATTACAAGACCAATCAATAACAAGCATTAGAAACGAAAAGAATAGAACTTGCGATCGTCGTTGAAAATCTAAACGAAAACCCATCCAGAATTTATATTAATCAGCGACGTTTCATCGGGTAAATCGTAGAATCGAAAGAGGAAGCGGTGGAAAGCCTTGAGGCGTACGAAAGGCCGGAAGGTACGCTCGAGTTTCCCGTAATTCCGTAACTAAAATTCTTAACGGACGATTGTTGATAGAACAACGACAAAAGCAGCGTCGTTAGGAACGTTCAAAGAAGCCATTATCTCTCAACTACTTCCGCCGCTAATGTGACGATCGCGGGCGGACGATCTTTATCGGCGATCTTCTCGATCCTCTCCATCAGCCTCGATTCTGCCCAGCGTCTTCCCCTTCCAGTTTGCGGAACACGACAAATAGAACGGGATTGAGCTCCGACAGCCTATCGATACCCATCCGCCATTCTGATGAACATGCAACGCGGTCTCGAATATGTATTTATGCTTCCCGTATCATTTCGTAATTATCGATAACATCGTCAAGGCTTTTTGCAGGAAACAATGGGTCATTACTAGTTCCCCCTGCGCCTCGTCCCGGAGCCTGTCTTACTTTTTCTTTGCCGTTTCCCCTCGCCTTCTATCACCGCCATTTCGTTCAGCCAACAGAACGCCTCGCGACTTTTGGCATCGCCCTTCGGTCGCGTGAAATTTCTTGAAAAATTCAGGATCGCGTCACACCGGCTGCGAACGCGGTCGCCGCTAGCGGCGATTTGATTTCCAGTGGCGCAATCGAGGTCATGCGTAACTGACGCCGTTCAATTGAATAGAAAGAAACTTTTAGCTTGCCGATTCTAACGTTGGTCATTCTGGGAATGTTATTAATAGCAGCCTCTTTTGAATTTGCTCATTTGAAGCGTAGATTTTGAGAAGAATTATCTGTTTCGAAAATACTTACGGTAATTTAGGCAATATTGATGTACTCTATTTTATTGTAATACATATGCTATATATGTACACTTTTAAACAATAATGTATTCATATGTTAATACAAAGATCTTTCTTTCTATAATGAGGAATATAAATATACTTGCAGTGAGCCATACGTTGATTCCGAAATGAATTGAGTTAATTGTACGAATTACCGTCTGATTTCGTGTATAATATTCTTATACCTATCATTCCTCTTTGATCTTGCACTTATGTCGCGCTCTTTGCTGTCGAGAAAGTTTGTAGTTAGACTTTAAGTTAATAATAAGGGGAATCCATAACTGGAGTATCGCGATATGTCTGTCTCGTTGTGTAATTTCAAATCGAACGGAAGCTAGCGTCGCCGTTTCACGGAACTATCGACCGACTTCGATGCATCGAGCAAAAACTGACGTGGATTTAACAGCGTTAGTCCACGTGGCGCTCCGATATTTTGCCACCGAAATCGCCAGTAATTTAATTACTCCCAGATGCCAATTAATAGCTTAAACATACGCGATGGGCCGCGCTGATCGTTCGCGCGGACGAACCACGGGGCTCCGCTAAAGACGCAAGATGTTTGTCATTACGGCACCGCGATGATTTTATCGTCTACGAATGTTTCCTCCTTTTCTGTTTTGCTCTTATGCTTCCTTCGTTAGTATATTCCAAGATTAACCCCGGAATGATAACTAACGAGTCGTATAGACAAGATAGGCGGACCGCTGAAGACATATGCTAGAATCGCTTCGAATGGTAGTCAGGGGAAATCTAAGAAAACGTATTTTCGCAGGCGTCACGGTCTTTCGAAAGAATTATAAAGTTGTCGTTTTGACTTTACTACAGTATTATTGTTGTGTTGTATAACGAATCGCAGAATTCGAAATGTTTACGATCGTCATTAATTCGAACATTTCGTCGTTGAGCTGTCGTTGTCGCTCGTAATTACAGTTTCGTGCATTAATTTACCAAATGAGAATTACGCAAAAATTAATTTCCTTTGTTAATCTTTGTGTATTATTCAGGTTAATTTCGCTTGAAACGAGAACTTTATTTTATTCATAGAAACGTTTAAACTAATTTAAATGTAATTATGTATGTTACCATTTAATTTGCGAAACATTAATGTCGCAGTTAATGTAGATAATATTTCTATTCTATTTTTATTCTATGCTTGCATAAGAATTATAAATGTATTAACGGTTCCTATTGGTTTATGCTTATCGCCTCTGTTCCCTCTTTTTGCAGAGGGCAACGTTAGCGGAGAAGGAAGTTTCCGCGTTAAAGGAGCAACTTGCCGCAGCAAACGATGGGAATTCGAAGACTGAGGGACACCAATTGTCTCAGACTATACAGGGAAGTGATCAGCAGCAGGTTCACGATGCGAGCAATCCCAGGAGAACGCCAAACAGCAACCTGGAGCAGGAGCTACAAGCGAAGGATAAAGAGGTGAGTCGCGAGAGAACAGTATTTCCAGTCTCCCCGCGGCGAGAATCGACAAAATCTAAGGACAATGCAAATAATTACGACGAAACATTTTTCAAACATCGAACGGATTTCATGAAAAATTAATCGATACAAGTATCCGAAATTTCTCAATCGCGCTTTCACTTGTAACCAAAAGACGGTTCGATTCTTTGATATTTATATTTACATATAAAAATTTTGACACCATTCTTCACGCGTACACAGGTACAAAATATTTTGTACTTAACTCGAACCGTCGTGTATACAAAACTGATTTATTTTAGAAAATGCCAAGACAGATTTATTGGCAATATGTGTAAAGAGAACAAGAATATGTTTAATGTTCTTTGCGCGATAATGCGTCAAGATGACATATTATTCTGTCTCTATTAATAGTTTTTCAAGAAACTGCAAATATAGATATTACAATAAATCAAGTTTAGTTTTATTTAGCTTATTCATGATTTTCTTTCGTCGTGAAACAATAGCGATACGTATCACTGAATAGTCTTACATAACACAGTATCAGTAAAATAAATTGTAGTATCAATACGGTTTGAATATGAGCATATTTTCCAACGAGCCACAAACATTTCTCTTCGACGATTGAAGTCTCTTCCGACTTCGTCGATGAATTTCTGCAACTAATCGGGAGCCAGGAAATTCTGTTTAACTGTTGCATACGGTGCTTTCCCTGCGTGTGCGTCGATCTGAATGACTGACGTACTCGATAGAGCACGTGGTAGCCCACCCTCGCCCCCTTATCGCGCTAGTCTCTTCTCTCTTTCTCTCCCCTTCCCCCATTTCTCTTTCTCTCTTGCAGTTTGTCGGTTTCTCTCTCTCTCTGTCTCTGTTTTCTCTCTGATCGTACGCACGAAGCACGCGCACACCACACAACGAAATTCACCCCCGAGTGCACTTCACCTTTCCGATCTGCGATAAACGGCTCGAATCACGCTTTCGGGACGCAAAGTGTGACTAATGGCAGCCGACGAACCGACGGAATTGGTAATGAAAGAAGATCATAAATAGGAGACGCTGTATCGATGAATATTCATTCGGGCAGGGCCCACAAGAATCGTCAGGGTTTCGGCGGAGACGGTTTCGGTACCTCTGAAACGCCGCTTGATGAGTGGAATTCGATTTACTTCCGTTTTCCTCGACTCGTGCTGACAGTTTCTAATTAAAATTCGAAAACTCGTCAAACGATTATTACAACGGAATGGAACTTCTCTGTTTGATAAATGGGAGATAACAGTTTCTATTTCTAAATTGCTGTTTGACACGTGCCAACGTTGATAAATAAAATGCTGTAGTTATATGAAAATGTATATTTCTCACTCTTCGTTGAAGCGTAAAAAATAACACAAAGTGGTCGGACCCTTCGCTTCGCGAATCGAAGTCTTGCAAGAATTCCTCGCACCCCATAACGGGGGTGCATAATGCGAGCGATTCCGGGGGATGAGGCTGCGAACAAAGACGGAAAACACTTAAAACACCGATCGAGAGAGAAAGAAAGAGAGAAAGGAGTGATAAAAACACCGCTAAGAGTTCAATAAGTATCCTGCTTAGGGCCAATAACGTCGCACCCCTTTTTCGCCTCCGCCCCTAGCCACCACTTCGCACCGGCTGCTCCGGTATTCTCGTTTTGAAGGAAATCGTTTGCTTTAGCTTGTTGTAATCCCGAACCCGATAATCCGCCACCCCTTTCTTCCATCGCGGCTCCTTTCCCACCCCCTTATCGAAGAGTAGCCGGAGAACAATCCCCGGCGACGACGGACCTTTTCACGGATAAGAATTTGCTCCTTGGACAATGTCTTTATTGAGAAGCCATCGCGCGCGATGGGGGCGTTTTCTTTTTTATTATTTCCTGATTAAGGGTGGGAAATCGGAGGAGACGGGCTACCGGTACGGAGGCGATAATGAGGAATAAATAATGCGACAATGTAGCTGAGGAAAAGAGGTAGTTGGTCGAATATCTTTAACGGAGAGATGAATCTTTGAAGAGTTCGAAGGCGGGGGTGAGTTTTATGGTTCCTGTCGGCGCGAAGAAATCACTTGATGGCGTTCCTATCGAAAGATAGTCCGATGCTTTCTTCGGTGCTTTATTTATTAGCCTATTAAGCTATCGAGTCCTGTTTCGTTCTGTTTATTTCTATATCCGCGATCTTTTTATCTAAACGTAATAGATTTATCGAGTGGATAATTTAAAGGAGTTTTTCATTTTTTATTTTTTCTACACTGCGGTAGTAAGTAATACTATATTTCTTAATAGAAACATTTTCGTAACTTACAAGTGATTAGATAACAGTTAAATAATTTGATTTTCGAAAAAGTTTGAAAATAAATGAAATTGATAAAGTATAAGAGAGCAAAGGCAGGATTATGGATGTATATTAAATATTAGTTACATTTCTAAGAATCGAATAATTTACCTATTTCCTAATTTCATTGATTCTATTGCTGCGCCTGAGATATTTTAATATTTGATCTGATTAATTAATTGAATGAATTCCATGTACATTCGTATCAACTTATTGTTCTTCAGCTGCTCTTATCTCGTCTGGCTCACTTTTAAAATCAAATTCATGGAAAACAGCTAAACGATTTCTACCGTGGCGGCTGACGTATTCGAGTTATAAATAACCCGAAGTCATCATTTTATATCGGGGACATTCGGATCTTAGAACATTTTCCGATTGTTTTAAGAGCCGACCCCGAAAACCGGGCCGCTTTGATCTTCACCCGGAGAAGCATTGAGTTATTGGAATAAAAGAAGTGGAAAAGAGAAAAAATCGAACGACGAAGTGCCAGCCTTGTTTAACGTGCCGCTACCAAACTCTCGACTCTCGTCCTTCCGTCTCGAGACTCGTTCCACGCGTTTCTGAATTTTATTTTCGATCCCACGAGACTCAATGGCTGGGTTCCCGTGTCTCGAATATTTATCGAACTTTTTGCTCACTATGGAAATCTTTTGGATTCGTCATATTCTTAAAAAACATCGTCCCCGCTCGCTCGAAGATGAAAGAATGACATTTCGGAGGAGTTAAAAAATCTGTTGATCTTTTTGTTCGTGAAGAAGCAAACGCGATCCGTTCGCGACGAAAGATCGCGAAATCAAGCACAGGTCATCTCGGTAGGAAAGAGTTCGCAATTAGACCGCTAACGACTTTCTTTCCCGGCGGTGTTTCATGCGAGCTGGGTAACCTGGCACCGTGGAAAGATGAAAGAGAGACAACGCGCCGCCGATGCCAACGCAAATACGCTCCACGAGTGTTTCAAAACACGTTGGCTAATGTACTGAGGGCGATAGATCAAGAAATAACCGAGAACGTTATCCGCGCTTCTCCTAGCCGGGATCTTCGCGACTTCCTGTCTCGTAGAGCGGGAAAATCTTATTCTTTCCCATAGATACTTGCGCTAAATTAAAGGAAAATTTTTTAATTATTACGTCTCAGAAAAAGATGCAAGAAATCTAGAATAAACGTATAACTTTGTTATTGCTTTTACTGCAAATATATTATTCTTTTTATTGGAAACTTTTATTAGGACCATTTTTATTGAAAATAGATGAACGTAGAACAATATATCTAGTTTTTTTGTTATCTCTCCTCTTATACACATAAAAAAAGATATTTATACTCAATCAGAGGATGACAAACTATAAAACAAATGTTATAATAAAGTTTTATTTAAAAAAGGCTAATAAACAGTAAAAGTTTATTCCTTGAAACTTTTCAAGAAGCAATATTTGGTTATGTCGCACGAACTGATGAATTTTTTAATGTCAAATCAGTTATAACTTCACAGTTAAAAATTCATAAGAAATTTAGATGATTAATAGTTGCGTGTAACTTTAGAGAAGCTCGTTTGGAGAAGTTACTTCATTGAAAAATTAAATTACAATGTCAAATGCAGATTCCATCGGGTGCACCTGTAAAGGGTGGTAGCTGGCGACTTAATATTTCGAATTTCCGAGTATCGGAAAATAATTAACTCAGATCCAACTTTTACATTAAAGTTTCCTATGTAATACATATCGAATGATCGTCATCTGGTTCGCGGTTTTATCGATAATTATGATCACTTATGGTTATGTGGTCCGCGAAGCCATCACAGAGACATCGACGCCGCGGCCATATTGGGAACGCCGGTAGACCGAACGCGTGTTCCAACCACAATATTACCGTATTTACCCTGATACGAAGATTTGCTGATAATTGGCGCGATAAGAAGCAATCGAGTGCGCAATACCTGCCGCAACAAACAATCGCCATGGACGGGACGACGAATTTTATCGTTTGAGACCGAGCTAGCGCCGTGAAACCAACTGTTGTGAAACGGATTAGAGGCCGACTGACAGATCGGTGGGTGGATGGAGAAACCGAGGCTTTCACGGTTGCGTAATATTCCTCGGGAAAATCTCGCCGCGCCTTTAGGCCATCACAATCGAGACTTTCTGTGAATCGCGACGAATTTCGGTATGACTTTCGTTTCGCGCCGCGATCCTTCGATGTAATAGCGTGTAGATATGCGGAAGCAATCACCACTCCTTGTCGTTTGGCTTGAAAATGTAATACGTTTACGATGAACGCTTGCAGTTAAGCTGAAAGTCAATGAACCGAATATGTCAGACCGCAAAAAGTTGAACACAGTGCTAATTACTAGTCTTCCTTCCTGTTTGTATACAATGTGTTTTTCTTCAATCGAAGGGTGATGGACAATAGAACAATTAGATACATTGCGAATCGCACCATTCATATTAATTACACGATTCGTTTATGAATTAAACATAAGAGTTCTAGTATAAAGCATTCGATCGGTAATTGCAGTGGTAATTTGAAGTATCAGTAACACATTCGGTATCGAATAGACTACGCGATTAAAAGTGCCATTAACAAATTTTTTCGCGATGCTGACAGAACGCTGGAAATGAATTTAGGTTACATCTTATCATATCTGTCCATGTCGTTGTTAAACGTGCAAACAACGAATTAACAGCCTCGTAAATTTACATTCCAAAGCGGTAAATAAAAAATCGATAGTGCCACGAAATTCGTTATCAGTTCGCCTATCGTTTCGCAATAGATAACGGTATTATCAAGTTCGAGAATGATTCGCGGGCGATAAGGGTAGGAAAGCTGGAACCCGATGACGCGGTTTTCGCGAACGACGGAAAGAATAAAGTTTCCCGGGTAATTGTCGTCTTCTTTTTCGGCCGAATTCGGTATAGCGGAATGAACGGATTCAGCATCCGGATGCTGCGGAGGACTCTAGGCAGAAAAGGGGGTGGGTTTCCTGGCAAAAAGCTGGGATTATTGCGCTCGAGCGAAAATGACGTGGGTCAGAGGTGCAGGCTGACGGATAGAGCCAATATCGTTAGGTATTCGTTTCGTAAGTTTCAAGTAGAACAAAATATA